ATACTACTGCATTTTCTTGGCTCTTAAAAAAAACCCTGCAGAAACAGAAGCAAAAATAGATGATCATGACATTGTCTAAATAACCAGTGTGGATGGCCATTGAACAATAAATGCCCTGTGGAGAAAGTAATGATAAAATACTTGTACATCAATTTTTCTCAGGTACTGAATTATAACACAACAGTGGGACTTTAAAAGGACAAAAGGTTTTCCCCAAAGCCCTCACTCCATTCTTACCTTCTGTGGAAGTTCTTGGCTGTTCACAGCCCTAGCTGTTAGATATTTCATATTGTGAGGATACTAACCAAAAGTGTCCCCCCCCCTCTTTTTTTGGCAGGGACTTAATTTCCCAACCAAATCTTGTTTGCAATGTGACCGTGTCATTACTTCTGAGGGAGGGCAGCCTTGAGGGGTGAGTGGGCCGCTGCTGGGAAGGAAACATGGAAACACTGGGAAATGTGGGAAGCAGTCCTGAGGTGGGCCAAATGTGCTTGCCACTTTCCTGCCATGCATTCATTCATTCATTCATTCATTCATTCATTCATTCATGCATTCAATGCCTGTGCTGTCCGATAGCCAAAGCTCTCCCCAGACTGGTGAAATAGGGTGCATGTTGCAGGATAAAATGGATTGGATAGCAAATGCCAAGCTGAGCTTCTACGGCAGCTTCCCATAGCTGTAGACGCCCCACTTTGGCTCTCCCACTGGCTGTGAGGTTCAAAACTGATGATGCCCATGTGCATGACACACTGCTGCAAGGCACAAAAATGCAAGCAGGTTCTTCCGTTTGTGCTGCATTATGCATGGATCCCAGCTTTGGATTCATCTGGTACTTTATCAGGGGATAAAGCTCTCTCTCTCCCTCTCTCTCTCTCTCTCTGATCATACTAGGCAAATATCTAGCCTTAAATATAACTTTACATTCATTTCCCTTAAGATGCCTGACACACTGCTGCCTTCTTTTCCATCATGAATAGGCCTGTGGCCATAATGGAATGGAAAAGATGTTCAGCGATGCCTCTTTACGATGTCTTTGCACCACATTGCAAATTCCAATCCCAAGAAATCAGGAGCTGCTTGAGGATTAAAGCAATAAGATACTTAAACATTTTATTTCATAGCTACAAGTCTCCACATCACTTCTCAGGAAGACCAAATAAAATCTGCAACACCAGTTCTTCAAATTGTACAAGCTTCTAATTTTTCATGAGTTCCCTCTCTTGGATCAAATGCTTCATTAAAAAATTATAATTGGCCATCATTTTAGAGCAGGTTTAATTTCCAAAAGGAATTCCAAAAGGGATTTTACAGTGACTATTTCAGTCATGCTCATAACAGTCTATGAGGAAGGCATGTTCAAATGTTTCAGGAATCTGGCTCCAATTTGTTCATATTTTTCTCACTAAGTCTTCCTGCCTTACAGTAGACCCTGAACACAGAAGTGTTTGTGTTCATGGTTGATGCAGCCTGTGCTCACAGACCCAGGCAACGCACTGTCCCCATCTTCTTCTCTTCTTAATTTTTCTGACTAGTATGGGACTGAACCAGGACCTCAGCACAAAGGAGGTCCCGCAGCTTGTCTTCCAGTCTCAGCTCTTCCTGATCCTGACCTGGCAAAGGTTCCTAGCAATGCACCAAGAGGGGTGAGCAGGCATCAGTTCCTCAAGGGTTGATCCAAAGCCTGGACACCCCATAGACTCCCCCTCAGGAATTGCTTGTTGGTAGTAACCCATGTCCTCTTTACCACTTTACCATTAGTCCCACTAAGTGGCAGCCTCAAGCTGAGTGACGCTGCTGGTGCCTTTGCCCTTGCCTCTGGAATATTAGTAGTGCCAGCCAGCAGCCACCAACTTCCTGCTTCAGGGCTGCAGCTCAGGGGGACGGCAAAGGCTGTGCACATGGAAGGTCCCAGATGTTCCCAGGCAGGGCAAAGAATGAAACCCGGGAAGCCGCCACTCACCCTTATCAATTTCCCTCTGCAAAAAGCATGTTGCAATGCATTGCTGAGCTAGCCAGTTCTCAAATCCTTACAGTATTTTAGTCTCCACAGCCCATTCAAATGCTTCCTTTTCATTTCAAAATATGCTCGTGCAGCTCTGATGGCCTTTTCCATGAGGCACCTTTAGCACCCCTGCCCCCAAGACACATTAAGTCTTTTCACTGGGTCTTTTCAGCCTGGAGAAGAGGAGCTTCAGAGGGCACCTGCTAGTGACATACAGGTATGTGACGGGGTGTCACACGGAGGTGGGTTGTGACCTTTTCCCCCCATGGTGGAGGGCAGGATGTATTCCAGTGGAGCAAAGCTCAGGAAACCAAGATTCAAGGTGGTTGCCAGGAAGTATTTCCTGACAGTTAGGATTCCACGGGCATGGAATGGGCTTCCACAGGAGGTGGCTGAGGCCCCCTCGGTGATGGTGTTCAAGGATAGGCTAGACATGCACATGGTGAGCATGTCCTGAGCAGACCCAGCTGGAGCTAGAGGTCAGACTAGTTGGCCTGGGAGACCCCTTCTGGCTCGCTCTGTTTCTATGTTTCTAAGTAATAAACAGTTGTCCCTATCTTCAAAAAGAGGGGAAAAATGAACCTAGGAACCATAGACCAGTTAGTCTGACATCAATCCCTGGAAAAATTCTGGAGCAAATTATTTAAAAAATCCATCTGCAGCATCTGGAAGAAAATGCAATGATTAATAGAAGCCAGCATGGATAATCAAAAATAAATCCTGTCAGAATAATTTAACCTCATTCTTTGACTGGGTAACCTCCCAAATGGACAAATGGAATACTATGGACATAAACTACCTAGACTTCAGCAAAGTTTTTGACATAGAGCCTCATGACATTCTGATAAGCAAATTAGCAAAAACTGGGCTAGATAGAAAAACTATTAGGTGGATCCAAAATTGGCTGCTAAATTGGACACAAAGAGTGCTCATCAATGGCACCTTCTTAAATTGGATGGAGGTACCTAGCAGGGTGCCACAGGGTTCAGTCCTGGGCCCAGGGCTCTTCAACATCTGTATTAATGATTTAGATGAGGAAGTACAAGGAAAGATAATCAAATTCACAGATGATACAAAACTGGGCAGAATAGCAAACACCCTAGAAGACTGAAGATCCAGGGCGATCTTGATAAACCTGAATACTAGGCTGAAACCAACAGAATGAAATACAGCAAGGACAAGTGCCAATTTCTCCACCTAGGAAAAAGAAACCAAAGGCATCAATGCAAGATGGGGAATACGTGACTCAACAGAACTGAACAAGAAAAAGATCTTGGAGTAATTGTGGATAAAAGGCTAAACATGAGCCAACAATGTGATGCAGTCTCCAAAAGAGCAAATGCTCTTTTGGGATGTATTAACAGAAGGATTACTTCCAAATCACAAGAAGTAGTAGTTCCCCTATACTCCTCACTAGTCAGACTTCATCTGGAATATTGTCTTGGGCAGCAAGAATTAAGAAAGATGCAGAAAAATTGGAAAGGGTCCAGAGGAGGGCAATAAAAATGATCCAGGGTTTGGAAATACTACCCTATGAGGAGAGACTGAAAGAACTGGGCATGTTCAGCCTTGAGGAGAGAAGACTGAGGGGGGACATGATATCTCTCTATAACTACTTCAAAGACTGTCACAAAGAGGAAGGTCAAGATCTCTTCTTGCTGATACCAGAGTGTAGGATACAGAATAATCAATTCAAGCAGCAACAACCCAGATTCAGGCTGGATATCAGGAAGAGCTTCCTCACTGTCAGAGTGATAGCACAGTGGAACCACCTGCCTAGAGGAATGGTTGGCTCTCCCACGCTAGAGACATTCAAAAAGAAACTGGGCAGCTATCTGAGTGGGATGGTGTAAATTGGTGTCCTGCAACAGCAGCAGGATGGACCTGATGGCCTTCACGGCCCCTTCCAACTCTAGTGTTCTGTGATTGTATGTGCTAAGTAGTCTTAGCACATAGCATGATACTCTCACAGTTCACAGAAACCCTAAGTAGTAACACTTCTGCAGTTTCTTCTCACAAGACTGGAGTTTCTATACAGCTATTAAGGCAGAGAGAGCGGTACAGTTCTAGGTAAGACAGGCCCATTTAGACTAGAGGAGAGAGAATGAGCACAGAATAGGATGGTGAGGTGACCCACTCCTCCAGCATTGCCACCAGCATACATTACTAACAAAAGGCCTTAAACATAGAAACAGAGTGAGTCAGAAGGGCCCTACTGGGCCATCTAGTCTGACCCCGGCTGCAGTTGGCTCCACTCATGATATGCCCACCATGTGCATGTCCAGCCTATCCTTGAACACCCTCACCAATGGGGCCTCAACCACCTCCCGTGGAAGCCCGTTCCTTACCCTCGGGGCCCTAACTGTCAGGAAGTACTTCCTGGCATCCCCCCTGAATCTTGGTTCCTGGAGCTTTGCTTCATTGGAGCGCATCCTGGGCATCCTGCCCTCCTCTGCAGGGGAGAACAGGTCTCTACCCACCTCCGTGTGACACCCCCTCACGTACCTGTATGTCACCAAGAGATCCCCTCTGAGTCTGCTTTTCTCCAGGTTGAAAAGACCCAGTTCCCTCAGTCTCACCTCATATGGTTTTCCCTGCAATCTGGCCACCAACCTTGTGGCCCTGCCCTGCACTGACTCTAACCTGGCTATATCCTTCCTGTAATGAGGGGCCCAGAACTGAACACAATACTCAAATTGCGGGTTTTCAAGTGCCGTAACTCCTTAGTCCCTGCACCTATGCTTCTGAAACTATGCAGACTTTTCATTTAAGGATAGCTCTGTGTGGCTTGACATTGCCATGCAAATTGTTCAAAAAAGCAGAGGGGTTCTCTTTTAAACAAATCACATTATAAGGGGCATAGAACAAAAAAGCCTGTACCTTAAAAAGTGGCAGGTATAATCTTCTTCTAAAGGACTTTTGTGCCTGCACATATAATCCAGTTTGATGAAGAGAAAGAAGTTACAGCCTTTTAGTTCTTCTATGACAGGCAATAGGAACATGAAGCTTTGGATTTCCAAACCTTAACTGTGTTTCACTACCTGAGATGCAGCAGATAACCAAATGTGTCTGCTTTCTAATGCTCCAAATCATCAGAACTAAGGCAAGCCTTGTGGCTGGTGCACACTTCTAGTGGACTGGACGGAGTGGAGTTGGCAGCAGAAAAACAATGGTGCAGAGTGTGCATTTCTCAGACTCACCCGGTCAGTTGTTCCTGTGATTCTGTCCTCAGATCATTTCTTGGTTAAGCACAAGCTGGGCTTGGTTAGCGTAATCTCAGCCATATGCCTCTGCTGGTGACTCCACTGACATAGCTCTGAGTGTACATTGAGATTTTCCTTGTGAAGATATCTTAAGCTCCTCTTTTATCTGATAGAAAACCATATGAGAGATTTTTTTAAAAAATCAATCTGCTACTTAGATGAAAGTATTTGGAAACATATGTTTTGTCATGCAGAAAAATAGCCATACTTGTCTTTTAAAGAAGGCTATAGCATACAACAAAGCTAGGAAAAAGAAGAAAAATATTGCTGATTTAAATATTTAAGCAAGAGTTATAGCTACAGCTTTTTAGAAACAGAGAAACAAAGTGAGTCAGACAGGGCCTACTGGGACATCTAGTCTGACCCCCAGCTCCAGCCAGCTCTGCTCATGTAATCCCCAGCATGTGGTTGTCCAAACGTACCTTGCACACCCTCACTGATGGGGCCTCAACCACCTCCCTTGGAAGCCCATTCCATATCCTAACTGGTTGCTTGAGCTTTGTCCTGTTGGAACACATCCTGCCCTCCACTGCAGGGCAGAACAGGTCAAAGCCCTCCTCCACATGACATCCCCTCACATACCTATCAATCGCTTTTAACAGCTTTAATTAACATAGTATGCTTAAATAAAGAGGTCACTTGTAAGGAGGTCACTTGACACCATCACAAACAAGATTTTCTGCTTATCAACTTTGAAAGTGAACTGGTTTAAAAAGCTTTGGGCCACAATCCAATACAGAGGCCTAGTTCAGGACAACAGGTGGGCTGCCATGAGTGAATACAGGAGAAGCGATGGTACGGCAGCTTAATGATGCTGGAAATGTTGGCCAGAAATGCTCGGCGCTCCAGTGGCTCAAGCCCAGCCTCCGCCAGATGGAGTAAGCTCCCATTATTTGCCCCTAGCTCCTAGCCAACCTAGCAGTTGAAAACATGTAATACGAGTAGATAAATAGGTACCATCTTGGTGGAAAGGTAGCAGCACTCTCTGGCATCGTGCTGGCCACATGACCACAGGTTCGTCTTCAGACAGCAATGGCTCACATCCTCGGAAATGGAGATGAGCACCGCCGATATCAGCTGCTGGCTAAGCAGAGTAAAATCCTCAGGAACTCTTTTACCTTTTACCATGAGGGAATACAAAAATCAGACACAACACTAGACCCTTTTGAAACATCTGGGACAGAAGAGACTTGGGCAAGTACTTGGACAGATATGCCTTTCAGGATATAAATCTTTCAGGCCTCAAGCCCAGTGATGTGATCACACATAGATTACTGGTTATTTTCCAATACTTAATCAAGGACAGATTTAAATCAAAACTGATCAAGGAATCACCAAGTTCCTTTTCCATGCTTAAATCTTTATGTTAGTTACACTCTTTCCTTTCCCTCAGAGCAAATGCACCAGGCAGCAGAGAGTTCTTTTATGTCGAAACTTATTGCAATAAAGGGAGTCGGAGGGTTTCCTTCCCCTTTCCAACTCGCCGAGCACATGTTCACACCCCGTATTTATGCCCTTTCCCCATCCGCTTCCTCCCTCCTGCTCTCCTGGGGGGTTACAATCTTTTCCATCCACCTATTCTGTGCCACTCCAATACTTGTTCTTCCCTCCCACGTTGCCCCTTCCAGGTGAATTGTAATGAGCTTATTTCTATGCGGGGTGTGTTAATATTCATGAGGTCATTGAGCAAGGGTGCTGCTACTTTGTCTACATGCCAGTTCCCTCCTGCTATCTGATCCTGGCCCCCTCCCCCTATGGCTAAGGAATTTTCTCTATTACATTTTTACTCTTTCTGTTTCTTTGTTTCAAATCATCCTTTCATCCCTATCATTTAGACCACACCTAGAAATACACTGAAGATCTACTCTGTGTCTGTAAAAATTTTGAATGTTCTTTGGGAACCATGCATGTCCTATTGGCATTTTATTGGCCGATCCAACTTCAGAGATTGGAACACAGGAAAAACGTTTATTTTAAAGCAGGCCACAGCAGTGTGTTCTCAGCATTTCTGCTATTCTGCACAAAATCCCATATACACACCTACACTCACACACGTATGTATTTGCGGCTAATCCATAGCAGGCGTTGCAGTAGAAGACATGTGGTGCACACTTTATAGAATGTAAATATGTTGCATATTTATAGGTCACCACTCAAAGAAAAATGAGTCCTGGAACATGCCCTTTTGTTTTAGCTATGCTATTTAGCCCCAGATCAGTAGCACCACCTCTGAGGGTTCATGCCCTGCACAGTGAGTAACCACAGCCCCCCCCCCCCCCCACCAACCACATGGATTAGGCAAGAAGGCGAGCGTGTAGGTCTTGGCTGTTGGCTTTCTGAACTCCCTCTTCCCCCAAATTCTCTCTGCCATCCTCTCTGCCATAAGCCTTGGGCTTATCCCTCCTATCCTTGCATCCCTGATTCACCTCAAAAAGGTCTGCTTTTCCCCAAAACCTATAAAAGCTATCCTATAAGCCATCTTGTCCCAAACACCAGGGCCCTTTTGTTTCCACATCCACACTCTTCGCTTGCGTCATTGCAGCAAGTCTTTCCTGAGCTACAGTGCAGATGTGCAGCCCCCGCTGAACAAACTCCGGGGCAAACTATGCAGGTCCAGCACCAGCTTCCGGCAGGCTCCCTCTGGGGGCTGCTGAGGTGCCAGATCCCTCTGAAGACCCAAAGGCACAGGCACCTGCCCAGGGCCCAGGCTTGGTGCCATCAGCCGAGCTGACAGGCCCACCTGCTCAAATGCCCTGCTGGACAGAGCAAGTGGCATGAGACCGATGGCCAGGGTGCCAGCCCGTTTCAGCCTGGTGGGGAGAGTGGAGGCACGTGGTTCAGACTCTGAGGGCAGCGCTGGTGCTGAGGGGGCATGGCTTGGAAGACTGCGCAGTCACCAGGCGTGTCGAGCCTTTGGAATATCCTATTCCTGGGCTGATGGCTGATGCGTAACTGATTTTCACATATTTAAAATGAAAATTATTGCCTGGAGGGTTATTCAGATGTTGGTACTTGAGCTATCTTATTATTGATATTGAAACAATGAACAATTGGCATTCTTTCACATACTCATCTATCTTTGTATTTTTAAGTGGCCTTGAAAACAGTATCTTCCAAGGAGCACAGAAATTAAAATCTAACTGAATCTGAAACTAATCTTAGGTCAAAAATGAACAACTGTCTTGGCTCTGTAAATGTGGCAGGCAAGAACACTCCTCTCTTTTGAAGAGGCTGTGAAATCGGAAAGCATTCCGCAACTAAGTTGTTTCAAAAGGTCATGGTAAGGGCTGCCTAAGGGGATCATCTGTCTTGAAAGCAATTCACGATTACAACATGCTGTCTTCATTCCTCTTTCCCATATTTTTCGGTGAAAGTCACCACTTAATTGCCAAGTAAGAACAAGCAATCTCTCTAAAACGTGTGCCAGAACAGTATGTAATCAAAAGCATATTATAATGATAAAACCAGGAAAGAATGTTTTGCGTGTGTTGGATGTTCTGGAAAGCAGAATGTTAATGCAGCGGGAGAGGCTTCTTCCACAGCCACAGATCTGGCTTCCTGAAACGGTGAGACTGAGCACCAGTCAGCTATGAGCAGGGCTGCCCCATCGTGCAGCAAGGGAAGGCGGCTACCCCAGGTGGCAAATCTCTGTGGGAAGCTGAAGGACGGCAGCCGGGTTGTCCAAGGTGTGCACTTTATCGCATGGGGCGGCATCTCTTGCCCCGGTGGAGGCAACAACATCCCTTGGTCAGCACCTGTTATGCCCTTGGCTTATGTGGCCACTGAGACCACGTCTCCTGAGAAGAGCACAAAAGAATGCGTACACTTGAGTAAAGTCTGCACGGAATGCGCACACATGCAAATCCAGAAAGAAGTTCTAGAATTTAAATGTCCCAGAAGTCAATCCAATTTCCATCCAAATCACCCCATATCAGTTAGTTCAAACCCTTTAGAAGCACAGAAACAAAGGGAGTCAGAAGGGGCCTCCCAGGCCATCTAGTCTGGCCCCCAGCTCCACTCATGTAATCCCCAATTTTTCTATATGTCCCTACATTTGCCATTATATAACAGAAGGCAGAGTAGTGTTATAGAATGGAATTCTATAGAATGGAATGGAATACACAAGGCTGCTACAGGGCATAACAGTAATGCTGGATTATTCTTGCTCTTAAATAAGCCACGAAAATGGCTGGAAAACATGGAAGAGTTCTGGGAGAAGACGATGTCATATGAAAGACCCACATATTTCCCCCAATACCCAATAAATGCTTCACGTAGGAGAGCCTTACATCAGCTTTCCATGTATGGCTAAAGAGAGAGACACAATAGTTTTTGCAATGTATCGTTTTTGTGCATTGCCACAGATAGGACCGTGGCACCACAGCAAGAAAGGGCAGAAGTCAAAAATGCATTTAATGCTGTTTTTTTGGCCGGTGATTCCTGACATATTTTGACTATGCAAGTCCTTACGCAAGAGGGATTAAAGCAATAGGTTGATAAAAACAGCATTTTGAGGTTTGCTGTTCATAAAGAAACGGCTGTTTCCAAGCTTTGCTACACTCAAGCAACAGTAAGCATAGCTGAGAAGACAAGAGTATCAGGAAAAGCTTTACCTGGTGCCATGTACACCACAGACGCCATTTCCTGACCGGACCCCTAGCTGGGTTTCAGCTATGCATGTCTATACTGTGGCCCAAATTGACTACAGCTAGCAGTTAAACTAAGCATTTCTTAGTTTGATAGATCTGATCATCTTGCTCATCTCCCTCCTCCTACACAGCCACCCTCATGCCAGCCCTTAGCAACTGGGGAGTTGCTGGGGCAGGACCCCAGATAGGTCAGCAACTGGCATTGCAGCCCAGGATGCCTTTCTTCTCCAGGGACTGATCCAGTCAGCAGGAATGTCACCAACAGTGGTGCTCCACCTGGCTCCAGGGTGGTTCTCAGACACCCATCACCTCATTGTCCTCGAACTGGGAGTAGTTTCCACCTGTCTGCTTTTTCCCTCATACATACAATCTGACAAAATATCTTCTTCTGATATGGAAAAATCCAGCATTGGAGTCCAAGATCAGTTTGCATTATCAGACCTTCATAAGGACTCGTGGAATTAATTTTGGAAGATGTATTCTCTGCATTGATTTTCCCCCAAACCATAATAGTATGCAAATCATCTCACTGTAGGAAAAGAGTCCTGCATTTCCTTCTCAAACCATTTGCTTTGCATTTCTGAAAAAGAGGGGTATACTTTTACAGTTAGAATTAATAATGATCACTAGACAAAATTCACCTAGATTATATGAACTAGTCTATTTCTCAAAGATTAATCACGGATCCAGTTTAAAAAATGATCATTCAGGTGCTTTCTGTCAGCTGTCAAAAGAGCCCCAAGCTCTCATAATGCTAGACATTCCTGCAGTGAGCTATGAGATGATTTTGATGCTTGAATGAAGGCATATAACTGCCGGCTGAAAAGATTATAGGTGCATATGAAGAAACACCACAATCTCCATACTGATGATGCATGAATAGGAGAATAGTGATAGGGGAAAAAATTACTGAAGGGAAGATAAATCATAATATATTGCCAGATTTAAGAGGCAAAAATTAACCTGCCACAAATATGTTACAGCCTCTGACTTTTGTGCAGGATGGGTTGCTGGAGGAATACCATTCATATTTCAGAGAACTAATAGCAAGAACCTTGCTTGAACAGAACATTAGAGGTCAAGTCACATTTTTCAAACATCAAAAAGGAATGGCTTGACTCAAAAGATTAATAACAGGCTGGGAAGGTTTCGGCTGGTAGGTTTTTAGTCTTTCTGCCTGGGTCACACTATTCTCCCTCCAGCACCCTGGGTGAGAGGCTGTGGTGCTTCCTCGGCACATGGCTCCCCGAGCACCTCTGCACCCTGAGCATGCGCCCTGCAGTGGTGCAGATGCGCGGAGGCCTCCCGGGCACGCCAGCCGGCTGAGAACAGCATAGCAGCCCCGGCTCAGGACGGGCACCAGTGGCCTTCCCGGGCAGTGTTGCAACTTGCCTCTGGCTTAACAGGTGTGAAAGCAGTGCGAAAGCGGAC